GCAGAGGCGCAGACACCTAGAGTGGCTTGTGGCCTTGGCCTCTGGTGGCAGCTTTTATAGGCCCGAGGGGGTGACGCTTCAAACTCTGGTCTCTGCTCTGTCGGGCACTATCTACAAACCACATCTTTACTCATCTTGATCTGAGTTTGTGGAAAATCCAGCATCACATAAAGGAAAGAGCTTGATTTCTGGTGGAAGGTCTGGGCCAGAGTTTCCAAGATATGAATGACCTGATCCCAGGGGCTTGTGCGGGGGCCCTGGGGCAGCCCGGTGTCGCAATGCCAGCTTGCACTCTGGCAGTTTTGCCTGGTGACCACCCTGTGCACCTCAGCAGGTGACCCATAGTCAAGCTCCAAGACCCCGTGGGTCGCCAGGACAGCAGAACAGTCCCAGCTGCAGGCACGCGCCTACCAGCTGCAGGAATTTGGGACTTTTGTCTTTTCAATGGGTAAATCTGTTAAATTACCAATTACTGCTTGCTTTGGGTGCAAAATTCAAACAGGACAAGAGGAGGAGTGACGTTCACTTCTCCCGCCCACTGATTCCCCGTGGGCACCAAGGGAAGAGTTAGAAAAGCTCTGACTCCCAGGTCTTCAGGAAAGGGCCAGTCGGACTCAAGGCTGTCCTGGGATCTTTGATTTTGAGAGTTGCTTTGACAGTAACGCTGGGCACGGGCAGCCTGACCCTGGGACCATCCTTCCCTTCACTGGCACAATTCCGGGGGAATGCCCTTACTGGGTGCCAGCAGTGCCCCCCAGGTTGGAGTGTGTAGCTGTCCCAGCGTCATGGAGACGGGGTGACCACCTTCACCCAGCAGGGTGTGGGAGCAGCCTACGCTCAGCACCTCGGGTCCGCCTCCTGCAGATGGTGCTGAGGGGCAGCTCCCCACGCCTGCCGCAAGCCAGGCCCCGGGAAGCCCCGCGCAGCCTTCTTGGAAGAAGCCAGAAGCGGCAGCCGAGGTGACAGCATCTGTCTGCTGACCGCTGTGGCGACTGCTCGCTGACCCATTCTTCCCCTGGCCGGGGCCTGCGCCCCACACACCTGCCGCCCAGGCTGGGGCTCTGGGCAGTGGGGCTCCGCGTCCCAGCTCGGGGACCCCCTCCCGTGGAGCCCCCCAGCAGCCCAAACCCCAGCTCCCGCCTGAGGTCCGCAGTTTCCCCTTGGGCACCCCAGGCCAAGGCAGCGCCCCGGGTCCCCCGGCGGAGGAGGGGGAAAGCACCGGCCGCAGGCTGAGTCAGGCTCCGTCCCCAGCGCGGCCGGCCGGAGGCGTGGGACCGATGCGCTGCGCAGATAGCGGCGCTTATGTAAGGGACGCGGGAGGCGATAAGGGCGCCGCCTCCCCACTCCGCCGGCGGCCACCGCTTGGATGCATTTCTCTGAATCCCCGCTTTTGCCCCTCGGCCTCCTGCAGACTGGCGAGCGCCGCGGGCTGTGCGCGGGGGAAGGCTGCGGGCCCGCGCCCACCCGGGTCGGAGCCCTGGCCGCCTGGGTAGCCCCGCGGCCCTGCGGAGGGCGTCTCTCCCGCGCTGCCCGGCTAGAAACTTTGAAAGATTCCGTGACTTCACTTGGAGAGGTTCACAGGCAGGAGTCTGTGTTCGCGCTGGGGCCTTTGTTTGGAATTTGTTTTTAATGTAGAGAATTTTAAAGAGACAAGAAATACGCAAACACAAATCCTGCACCCAGTAGCTATCACCCGTCTTTATGCTATGCGCATTTGTTAAAACATGGGAAAATGGTGCATACATCTTTTTTTCCACTTAAAATATAGGAACAGTATTCTCTAATATCAGTATTCTGGGTTTTTAAAAAGAGTCAGCTGGGGATGGGAGGGGCAAGAAAGATTAAGCAAAAGTGTGATTGTGAAACATGCACATGTGCAAAGAAAAAAAGTCCCACACTTCCAACACCCTGAGGTAATCTGCAATGTCTTGGTGGCTGTCGCTCCAGCAGATGGATAGTGTAGGAAATAAAAGTGACTTTTTTGCATTTATAAATATTCACTGTGAACTGAATTATAAACATTTTACTTATTTATTTATTTTTGTCTTTTTGACACAGCGTTTCACTATGCAGTTCAGGCTGGCCTTGAGCTCACTTTTAGTGCAGGCTGGCCTTGGACTCAAAATGATCCTCCTGCCTCAGCCTCCCCAGTGCTGGGATGACAGGCGTGCGCCACCACGCCCTGCCTGAATTATAAACATTTTAAACAAATAATTACAAGGAATTCCCACATAGTTACAAGTTCATTTGTGCCAGCCGCTAACCAAGAAATACACAGTCCTCGCTTTCTTGGAGAACATGGGAGTGGGCGGAGACAGGGTTTATCTGAAGAAATGAAGGAGTAAATCTGTGGTGGGTCCGGGTGAGAAGTGCACCAGAGAGGGCGGCAGGCGACGCTGGGCGTGGTGGCACACACCTGTAGGCCCGTCCAGCTACTTGGAGCAGGGCTGCGGCAGGAGGATCACAAGTCTGAGTTCTGCCTGCATGATTCAGCAAGACCCTATCTCAAAATTTAATAAAAAGAATGCTGGCGATGTAGCTCAGTGGTAAAGCACTTGCCCAGCACGGGCAGTCTCAGCACTAAGAAGAAAGCGGGTGGGAGCAGGCGGAGAGGGGAGGGGCCGGTGGCTGGAGGGTGTTCTCCTCCCTGCGGTGGGGACGGGAGGGCTTCCTGCGAAGGCGCTGTTTGGGTAGAGGGACCTGAGGACCAGAGGATGTGCCGACCACGCAGATAACGGGCGGGGAGGAAGCTTTCAAGCAGAAGCCTCCAGTGGGTGAAAGGCCTGGCCCGTCCATGCTGCTCCGGCAGATGCAGGGACCGGTCACGTGTACGCACAGAAGTGCGGTCCTCACCGTCCTGCAGCGCAGCGGCAGGGCTGGAGTCTGCAGACGGCTCGCACTCTGCTTCCAAGGTGTCCCTTCGTGTGTCCTCCCCGGGGGAGGGCAGAGGACCAGCTCTCTCCTTCAAGGCCTTCCCCAGGGCGCTCGTCCCATCGGGCAGGCGGAGCTCCGTGGCCGGGTCGCCTCAGAGGGACCACCTTTCCTAGCATCCCCTCGCCGCTGCAGGGCGGCAAGGACTTCTGGGGGACACACCCTTTCAGAGAGCAGTGGCCCTGGGCAGGACAAGGCCGTCTGTCGTGGGGCAGCCCGGATGGCTGGCCTTGGCGGCCGAGGGAGGCAGAGGGCAGCAGGGCCCGAGGGGCGGTCACTGCCCAGAGCCTGGGAGCCTCGAAGCTGCTGAGTGCGCGGGCGCACCCGTGACCAGTGGAGCGGAGGTTTTGAGTAAAGAAGTGAAATGACTCAGTTATCTTTTTTCTTTCTAAAAAATTTATTTTGAATTTATAGAAAAGTTGCAAAAATAGTGGTTTCATATCCCCTTTACCCACATTCTCCCCGTTGATGCCTCATGTAATCAGGGTGCCATGATCAAAAGATAGAAGAATTGACATTGATTTGTTATCATTTTTTACAAGGCCAGCATGTTTATTGAGTACAAATTGGGGCAAGAAACGGCCGCCTGTGGGGTTCTTTGGGGCCCTAGCATGCGTTTATTACTGAGGAAACTACACATCCATTCCTATCTCACTGCTGTCCCCAATGCCTTCCCTTGGTCTTAAGATCCAACCCCGACCTCACACTGCATTTAGTTGTTGATTCTCCTCGGCCTCCTGCAGCCTGTAACTGACGCTGGATCTTGTCGCTCATAACCGGGACAGTTGTGCTGTCAAGCAGACACTGGTCTGTATCTGTCGGCACTCTCATAGTGGGACTGAGGCGGTACATTTTTAGCAAGATGTCGTGTAAATGAAGTTGCGTCCTGGGCACACCACGCCACGGGAGTCCTGACGTCACTGTGTCTGACCAGCACTGACCTGGTCCCTTGGTTAGGGTGACTTCTGCCAGGTTTTTCCCTTACAAAGTTGCTGCTTTCATGGGGCTGGGGATTTAGCTCAGCGGCAAAAGTGCCTGCCTGGCAAGCGCAAGGTCGTGAGTTCGGTTCCTGGTACCGGAGAAAAACAAAAACAAAAAAACAAAGTTGCTGCTTTCCCCTTTTAGTTAGTAAATATGCTGGAGGAGATAGTTTGAGATGATATAAAATTGTTTCTCCTCAAATTTGTGCCCAATATATCGGCTAGCTCCAGTACTACTTCTCATCTGAATCAGTTTTTATTGTGGTCTTTGATTAAGGGTAATTTTTTCTTTCTCTCCTTTGAGATTTGTTACAGTTCTATAAAAAAGGCTGTCTTTGTCCATTTTATCTAGTTAGGTGCTCATTCATGTCCATATATGCTCATAGATACGTGCGCTCCTCTATGCGTTACTATGGTTTGTGTCTGGACGTCCCCCGAGGCCTCACGCGGTCATGGTGGGGTTTCTGAGGTGGCTGGAGCGCAGGTGCGTGATGCTGGGATGAGGGATGTGGTGCTGGGATTGATCCGTGGTGCGACGCTAGTATTAAAGCTGCTCCAGCCTGGGTGTGAGCGCTACCCACCCTAAGAACTGGTTGCCTGCATAGAATCTAAGGGACAGGAAAAGAGTCAGTGCTTGTCACTTGTCACTTGTCGATCGTTGCTTTTACCGCCTTCGGGCTGGCAGGAACTGTTTCTCCTCTGTGCTGCCCTCCGCCGTGCCACGCCTTGGAGCCAGCTGATGATGGACTGAAGCCTCTACAGACTGCGAGCTCAATAAACCTTTGCCCCTTTAACTGTGGGTGTCTGGTGTTTTGTCTCAGCAATGAGAAAAGCAAGGCAACTATTTTCATGTGGTTTGTAAAATTGTTCTACCTTGATCATTAGGAGATATTTCAGCTTAGGTCCCGTGTTCTTTGAACAAACCCACTATTAAAAATTTGTTTTTCTTCATTTTTGGCACCGAAGGTGTTCAGGCTCCTTTTGTAGTTTCCTCGCCTCAAGCCCAGCATCAGCCGCTTCTCCAGGGAGACAGGCTTCCTTATATGAAAGAGCGTATTCTGAAATCAAGATCAGGGCAGAACACGTGCT